TGAAGGTGAAAGGGGGTCAAACACCGTATTAGTATGGTGTTCCTAATAATCCTTTAGGTGAGTGTATATTGACAGACACACACATATGTACAGAGCATCAGTCAACACCTACCCTAGGTTTTTTTTGTACTATTCCCCACATTTTTACATTTTTTTTAATGATTATAAAGACATCAAAACTATAAATCAACATACATGGATTATGCCATGACCAATAAAGTAATACACAAAATATAAAATATTTGTGGGGGCAGCTTTATGGATCGGGTCTCAGAAGGCCGCCAGTTCAAATCCTGTGGTCAGTAGAGTGCCACCATTGATGCCACCATTGGCCCCTTGAGCAAAGCCCTTAACTTACTGAGCACTTATTGACCACTCTTCCATCACTCTCTGGTCAGTCTCTTCTAAAACCATTTTCACTGGATGTCTAAGTCACGTGATGTGGCACTATCACATCACTCTCCTTTGTATGCTGCTTCTTTTGTCCAAACTTTTGAGTGCTATATATACGTATATATATATATATATATATATATATATATATATATATATATATATATATATATATATATAGAGAGAGAGAGAGAGAGAGAGAGAGAGAGAGAGAGTAGTGAATGTCTGCACAATGTCAGGGACTGCATCAGGGACAAACCCAATTAATAAATAAAGCCACCAGAGGTCGCTATATTCACACTTTCCTTAACTCACGCAGTGCTCAACACCAGATGTCCGTGATTAACACCTCATTCTACACTTAAGGTGCCTCGTGCCTCACCACTGAGCTGAGAACAAATTAATCCTGCCCAGAATTAAACTGCTTGAGACCCTGTCAAGTAGGAGCAGTGTGAAGGTGGATGGATTCATTTAAATAAAAAAACAAAATAAGTAATATTATCTATCCATAAAATCAAATACTTGAAAAAAACCAGACTTTTTTTGCGTTTACACTCCAAAACTTAGCAAAAACAACTTTAGTTTGCAAATATTTAGTAATATGTTGCTGTTGCTATTTAGTGAAACCTGAAGTTCAATTTAAAGTACATATATAAAAAATATACGTTATGTTATAAAGCGTGCTTAAAGCTGTGGTGACGGCAGCACCTCGACGACAAATATCACTATTAAAATATTGCGTAAGCGTGCTGCCATGGAAACGTGCCTGCTGCGTGATGTCAGGTTGTCGCTGGTGACGGAACCGCGGAGGGGCAGCGCGCGCTTCATCGACGGGAAGCGACTGACTGCGGCTGCAGAGCCTACGGGCACCATGGGTGACATCCCAGGGATTATTAATATCAGGTTTTAACGGGAAAGTACTGGAAATGGCTGAAAGGTAAGACCGCATGCCTGTCTGCCTGCTTATTTACTGACGCATCTTAACATATCTAAATGACGGCTGGAAGTTGAATCAGGAGAAATGCGTTCATGTCTCTCGCTTTATATATAACGGGGGCTGGTTACTCACACCCTCGCAGCTCGTGTCTATTAGATGCCAGTATTTAAATACGCGAAATCCGCCCCAAGCTTGCACATGACCCGCGGTGCTTTTAGATATGACTTGTTTCCCGGACACCCCGAAACGTGCTGGGCTTGGCAAGCCCCGGGTGAGCTTTTCCGCTTCAATCGGCGGACAGAAATGAGCCTGGCGCTCATGAGGAGCCGGCAACAAACGCATTAGTCCGGAGCTGCTCCGTCCGGGGGCTGGTCCTACATCCCCGCAGCCATACAAGCGCTCTTCTCCCACCGCTTCAGAAAAGCACCCGGCTTCCTTGCATATTTGCTCGTGCAGTTTATGAAATGTTATTAGCGCGTTTGACTAACAAAATCGAGCCCATGGATGTGCGTTTAATTATTAATTGACCATTGGTTGCGTGCTGTCAAGAGACCTCGTATAGTGCGAGTATTTCAGTGGTAAAGCAACGATAAGCCACTGTTCCCGATAAAGCAGTAAATATGAACATGAAAAACGTAATTCAACGCAGTTATATATATATGCCTATATATATATGCCTATATATATATATATATATATATATATATATATATATATATATGCCTCCACACACACACATTTCGAGTAAGATGCGACGAGTGGTGCCAAACGGGCCGTTGGTAATGTTAACACCCACAGTAGCACACACTCAGGGTTAGGGATTATATAATTATGAACTGTGCCGAGAGGGATCCACATCTGGAAGCTGCTACACACCATGTCAGACTTATTAGTTGCCGAAAAGGCGAGGCTTTGTTTTCAGTTCGTTTGCACAGATGGATTTCGCGGCTGTCCGTGGCATGACATTAAAAAGAAAATAGCGGAAAGGCAGGTGCACCCTATTCGCCTATAAACATAAGAAAGGTTTTAATACAATTAATTATAAACGCAAAAGCAATTAGTGGGAGCTGTCATCCGGGTCGGGGGTGGATGGAGGTTGCGAGGGAGTGGAGCCGCCAAATTAATATACATTCTCAAGAAATGGGGTTGTTTGGCTGTATTTATGCAATGGATGTGGATGATGGGCATTTTTCGCCGTCTGGAGGTGTGACAGCTGCAGAGCGAAGCGCCGCCGCCCTGAGCCGGACGCTACACCTGTCGTTTCTCCCACTTTCTGTACGTATTTGCATCTAAAATAACAACCCATCTTCTCCTCCAGCGTGCTTCCCGGTCCTTTTAGCTCATTTATTCATTCATTCATTTTCGGTTCTCTAAACGTCAGTAATTCTGCATTAATTGATCTCGTAGGAAAAGGCACGTCCTAATTGAGATTACAGCCTCCCACACACGCACACCCGATGAAATTATAATCGTACAGACGTTTTGTAATTGCATTTTGTTTTAGCGTTACTATATGCTGGGCCCAGATCAAAGGCTGTTTTTTTTCTTCCATGCTGTCCTTACCAGGAGTGGTGTACGGTGCATTTGCCATGCACTGAGCGTCAGTCTCCCGGTTTAAAATACTGCATGCTTTATACAACTTAACTTAACCCGGTCTAAACTCATAGCATAACCAAGCACAGGTTTCTGCACTGGAGGTCGCTTGTCCACGGAGTAGCCGCCCTCTTCAGTCTAAGCAGGCATTATCTTCTTGAAAAGTGGGGCATTTCCATGGCAAGCCTCCCGTGTTTGGATAACGGTACACTGTCATCAGCTAATTTACTATCGATCGCAGCACTCAGCCGGCCTCCTAACGACGGGCCGCGCAGACTCCGCTCTGAAATGGCCTCACAGGTTCTCTCGTATCGATTTACGTGCGCCCGACGCTTAAGTGCTTCGTCATATTTAGTTTATGCGGTACAGAAACAGCGGTAATGAATTCTGATCACCTATGGTAGTTTTATTATCCCAATCCTGCACGGAACACCCCCTTTGAATGCTATTTATTTTTTCTAACAGTTTATATGTGTACAGCTCTATTTCCCAGGTGCAGAGCAGCACAGTGGCTGAAATAATATCGATTACAGTGTAGGTGTGCAGGGAGGAGGCAGTGGGGAAGTGTGTTTAATCTTTGCTAATAGGATTAGGGTGAAAACGCCTGAAAATTCGACTTGCCTTTAATCTATGTGTGGGGTCAGAGAGAGAGAGTGAGACAGGCGGGTGGGGCAGAGGAGGTGGCCGTATGAAGTCCCCCGGCTTCCTGTCCTCACGGTCCCCACCCCCAGATGAATAATGAGCATGGCGTGATTGTGCCCTGGCCTGTGTCCTCCAAGCAGAAGCTTTCTGGGTATCTTGTCCTATCGGGATTCTGGGTTTCCTTTCTCTGTTCCCCTAAGGAAGGGTGTCCACAACCCTTACCATCCCCAGTCCTTTCAGAAACATTCACATTATACCTGGATTCCCATTAAAGTGTGCAGACTGTGGCATCGATTCCTCTGATGTGAAGGGTCTTCAGTTCTGTGTTTGATCAGTAAAGTTCAGCCAGATCCAAATCCACAGTCCTGATGGTCGACATCCAGGTGTCAGACCTATTAGGGATCACCCAGAATGTTAACAGCAGAAGTTTGGCACGCTTATCTATACTGAAACCAAGCTTCCCTTTATTAACCTTTTAGGAAAAGAACAGCAATGAAATATTGGATTGAAAGTCTTTAGCCAGTCCCACCTCCTGAGGCAATAGTCTCCAACCATTTATTTTAAAAATGAGAGGTACTTTTACAAAGAAAATAATCTGGGGAGATACCAATATTTTGCTGGGGGGTGTGGGGGCGTGAAGGTGACGGTCTGATTGTCACGATCGACTAGGAATTGTCTTGAAGATCGACCTGTCGATAACGATCGACCAGTTGGCGACCACTGTCCTGAGGGATACATTGATGGAATCTCCACGGGGGCCCAGTTCAGCTTCAATCGCAGGACTTCACCACTATCGAGGTCCCCCGGGAAGCTCGGGATGGTCTGTGCCATCAAGCTAGTGCCTAGGATGGGGCTAAGACCCCAGATACCAAAACGGGGGACAGGTAGACTCGTTGGCCGGAGGATGTTCCTGCTGGATGCCAGGCAGTGGGGAGTGTGAATTGTTTCCAGCCACCTGTGTCTTAGATGCCATGGGGGTTGGTAGAGGCCAACGAGACGCCACCGGTCGACTCCCTTTGGTCGGTGATTTCGGCACCGGGCAGCCCGTTAGGTGTTGTTCATGTCACCTTGAGTAGAATCAGCTCTCGCTGGACCATGCCGTAATTGTTTCCCTAATTGAAAGCTGTGGGGAGTGCATGCGTGGGGGGGAGGTGAGTCTAATCCAAATCACTCCGACCGAAGTCATTTTCCGGACAGCGAGGGTCACTTTGTCTGGCCCACCTGGCGCATAACCCAGGATTGGCTGAAAGGCCCATTACCCAGAATTCCTCTGGATGTGGCCTGTATTACTCCATGGGCTGGTGACACTTTCCGGGCCGCGTCTGCTCCATGCCTCGACAGCCCTTCCTAATCGTTGAGCGAGGATGTTGCTTTGCTTTCCTCTGTTTTCATTCTTGAACTGAGACGAGGTTTGGCAGTCTGTGAACGAAATCTCGTTTCCCTCCGTAAATCAGACTAATAAGCATCATTCTTTTACCATAAAATTGGCCGTGTGGGAGCCAGGGGCTATTAGACACTGTTTATGGACAATTTAAATGTAGAGAATTGTCTGAAATGAAGTAGACGTTTCTGTACTGGTTATCAGTGCATTCGTCCTGCTTATCTGGTGACGGTGATGTGGCGATTAGCCAGTGATTAAGTGGCCATTTGTCAGGCATGTTGTGGGCCGTCACGGTTTGTGGCTCCCCATCTTTCCATGACCTGCCTGCCTCTGACCCTGGCACAGCCTGTCTAAGTGATGCTACATTTTTTAGCACACTTCTTAAGCTGATGTGGTTCTTTGCACATTCCCTTTGTGAGTGTGTTTGTATGACTTTTCTTGTCGGCGCTGCCGTCTCCATCTCATGACGCCTTGTCTGTCTGCCTGCTTCTTCTCCTCCTCCGGGACACAGATCAGGGAGGGATCAGGACTCCGTCCCATTCAGGCAGAACTCGATGTCGACTGTGGGAAAGCACTGAGGGAGTCAAGAGTGGGGGGAGGGGGTATTTTTGTAGCTGGTCAGGGCTTTGCCAGGGGAACGTGCCCCACTACTCATGCTGCAGACTCACCTCTCTGGCTCACTCTCTGTGGGGCGAAATTTCTCATCCTTCTACTTTCCATCCTTATATTAATTAATTGAGAAAATGAACACGGTCTAGTCTGGCATCACAACAACGTGTGGCAAGGTGGATGATGCCGAACTGGGCCAATCAATCAGAGAGCCGCCTTTAGGGCCCTGACTGGGCTATTAGTGGTCAGGCTACTGGCCGGACTGTCCACCATGGGATGCTGAGATCTCTCGGGCCTGCTATACCGTCACTTTTCATGGTATTTCATACAGGGATACCGTTCCCAAGGTTACAGTAGCACGGGTCCTTTACCTGTAAACCAGGAAACATGTCGGGGTGAAAAATCTGAACATCCCTGGATATAAACAATGAGGAATGTGGGAACAAGAGCTGTTTTGACGTTTGAAGGCAGGTGCATCTTATAGCCGACATATGGATACTAACTCCGGTCTGCTTTCCAAGGTCTGCTGTTGTCTGAATGTAGAAATCCAGATGTTTCCAGATGTTTTGCACATTCCTTCTAAGTTACCTTGACTGGTCTGTCTCCAAAGAGGTCCCATTTTGCTGAAGTTCAAGCTCTCGGCTCCAGAAAATGCGCCGACGTTCTGGAAGATCTGCGCTCACTCCGATTCACGATAAGCACAGAATTCCAGAAGAATGGGAAAGAGAGAGAGGGAGGGAGAGGGAGAGAGAGCGCAACGAGGAGGGATGGGATT